AAATTATATTTCTAAGGTTTTTTTTTTCCAAATTACAGTTTCATGTTTTTATTTAATGATATAATTATTAATTGAAGTAAGATGAGCTGCAACTTGCGATGGGAGAACTATTTATAATCATTGAATAAAGAAAATTACATTATTGTCGTCTTGTACAATATTTATAGTACTTTACATTCCAATGTAAAGAAATCTTCTAAAACATTTAAATATTTCATTGTATATAATGTATCATAAACGGTTAAGTTATTAACAGATGTATCATAACCAATCTATACGTAACTCAATCCTTTATAAAAATTTTCTCAAGGGCAGCTCATATTGCTTAAGTTAAAACGCAAATTTCATTCGAACCAATGAGGTTTTATCAAACTCTTGGTGTTTGTAATTTGCCAAGCTGCAATGCAAATAAGCACCGAGTAAATTAAAAAATGATTGAACACTTTGCCACAGTATCTAAAGAAATGAATAACGAACTATATATTTAGCATTTATGGATAGTTTTTGATTACATTAAAAAACATAGAACTCTTATTCTAACATTTGCATGATTGCTTATTATTTTGCATGAATATTGTGTATCCAATCAGTTATTTTACAATTCATTTCATTTTTATTAATTTTTCTTCTAGCTATTATTCAGACATTGAATTATCTACGGATTTTTCTGTTTTTGTGTATTTTTCTTTTATTCTAATCATGACAAGATGGGTGTGACTGGTCGGCAAGGATGCTTTCTCCTCTGTGACCCCTGATTTGAAAAAAACTATGTAGCAAATGGAAAATTAATTTGACCAATGGTTAGCTCAACTAAGAGGTTAACCAGTTTTTTTTTTCTTAGCAAGCCAGTCCTGATATTTTAGAGGTCCGTATTTGATACGCTCCTGATTTTTACTGTTTGAATTGACTTTTGGGCATGAACATTGTTCATTATCTCTATATTTCACTTCATCAAATAAAAAATAAATAACCACTACCTACATTTGTGCTTACAAATTCTAGATATAAAGGAATACTGAAATTGTCCTTAAAAATCATAATTTTATTAGATTATAAGAAAATCCTACCTAACTGGCAAAGTGATTTTGTGTTTATTATGCTGCTCTCAATTCATTAACCTTACTGCGTTTATAAGAGTGTTTTTAGATTTTTGTGTTACGTATTAACTGAGTAAAGATGTTGTTCATAACCAAAAAAAACCAATCCACGGACTAATCTATCTGTTTACTTATACTGTCATTTCTTTCCCTAATGGGAAATTTACATAAGACGTAAAAAAAATATTTTTATCTTCTTGAAGGGAATTGGAGTAAGTCTGGTATGTCCTAAAGTGATAAATAAAAAAGTGAACAGACCGAACAGTTATCGATCTTAATTAATTATACAAAAAATGCAAATCTGTAAACTAGGGTATAAAGCACGGACCCTTGAAAATTCCAGAGTTTTGATCAGGTGCCTAAAAAGATTAAGCATCTTCTATCGACCAATCACAGCCGTTGTGGGTCTTCCATTTTGATCAGGTAGAGAGAACATTTTTAGTTAAATCTAGTATAAAAACTTTTTAAACTGAACGTACATTCAATTAAAAAAAATAATATAACGAAATTGCCATTTTCTGTGGTGACTGTCTCAATAAATCTTTGAATATTACTTAGAAAATACGCCCATTTCTTCGTCTAGAAAGCTTTATTTGAACTCTGACAAAGGAACAAGGATTTCTTTACTATTATCAGAATCTGATAACATTGAATCTCTCTCTCTCTCTCTCTCTCTCTCTCTCTCTCTCTCTCTCTCGTTGGATCGATCGACTTCTTATAAACGAAGGATTTATGAACTTGAAGAACATGTTTTCTGATTCAGAGGATGACATTAACAGACTAGTTTTAATCCATGTAGTTAAATTAATTTTTCATTGAACACCCAGGTTCGCTGGCCAGTACTTGGACTTGTGTCATTGTATCATTGTTCTATGAAATTTCTATATCAAGACGATGTAGATCATTGTCTTTGTAAAACTTTGTTAAGTGCTCTTTGCAATTCAGTTTTCATTGTATATCATTGTACCCATTTTCCATTGCATCATTTATTCAATATTCACCTTATGTGCAACATTGATTTGATGATTCATTTAATTATTAATTAATAAAGCCATGCCAGAAACTGTCAAGCATTGTAAATCTATTTTACCGACATAATTGTTCACCGTTTTAATTTTCGTTATATATCACGTGATTTATATTCTTGCAAAATAAAATAGAAACTAAAGATACATTAGTCAAATTAAGAAGTCATAAAAATGGGCACTATTCCCAACCAGTCACAAAGTAAAGGTTAAGTTTCAACATCCAAGATGGAATGAGTTTATATAATCAGTAATAGTGTGTTCACTTGTCCTTACCGTGGAATTAAAGCCTGATAAAAAATATCACCTCAGTACATAAATATAACAAATATTAAAAGATTTTTTAGACTTCAGTGCGACAGACATATGTCTCAATAAAGTTACGGGTGTTTGTGAACAAGGAATATATTTCATCTTTTTATTCTGTTTGCTAAGGCATATGGGATTAAACGCACAATTTATAATGCAATAATCACTACAGCAAGCGGATGGTTTCTTTCATGATTAGATTCGCCTTGACCTTTGAAAATGTTAATTTACTGTGATCCCTCAGAGGTTTACAACCCACCCACCCCCACCCTGAGCCCTGTTAAGATAGAACAGGACTACAAGAATTGTAGAGAGAAGTACTTATTCATATTACAGATTTTGATACTGATTAGTTTTGGTCAAAATGAAAGGAGATACTCAAGCTCATAGTCCTTTTAAACAATACAAAGTGGGAGTCGAGCAAACACGGACCTCCAAAACATCAGAGGCGGGATAAGTTTCCATGGAGAAGTGAGCCTCGTCTGCCATTGCATAGATCCAGTTCTCATCAAACTTGATGAATTTTGGAAGAAATATTTTTTTTCTAATCAGAAGTATAATGATTGATTGATTGTGTGTTGTTTAACGTCCCTCTGGAGAATTTATCACTCATATGGAGACGCCACCCTTTGCCAGTGGAGAGCTGCAAATTTTGTCCTATAGTAGCTCTCATGGCCATTGATCAGTGAGGGATCTTTTTCTTGCCAGCACCTATTGCAACACGGGACCTCGGTTTAAACGGTCTCATCCGAAGGACCGGTCTCCACGTCCTACAGTGGGATTGGAACCCACGACGTAAGGATCAACTCCTTACTTCGCGAATCTAGAGCAGACGCGGGCGACTACTCATAGTATAAGAAGATATAAAACCTTTTGATTAAATATAATATTTAATTACTAAATGATATTTATTACTAAATGAACTCTAAAAAAAAATTTTTATAGGAAAGGGGCAAAACAACATTGACATGGGTCTTAGTACTTAATTTGAGCTATAAATCGGCAATTACACGACGCCAAAATTGAATTTCTCTGTGTTTCATGAGAACTTGAAAGAACTCGTTAGTTGCTGTTCAATAAAGACCCCTGGAGACCACAGAGACAACAGAGACAAGTTATTACACTGTGTCCTATCAATAACCTCTAATCGTTTGTCAAGTCGTGTTTCAATTTGTCGTGCAGATCTCCCTCGGTGTGTGCCGCGTCTTTAAGAAATCAAGAAAGAAAACAATGAAACTTCACACAGGATTTGTCATTCTACAAATACTCGACAAAAAATGGTAATTTCAAATAATGCGGGGACATTGCTCCTTGTTCTACTGCGTATACAATTATACCAATGTGAAAAACAAATCCTCGTGTGATTCCAGTGAGTGTTTTGATGTAATTGCTTTCGATAATTTTATTTTTTGTGCTCGCATCAACAACAGTCATTATCTTTGCATTTTTATAGAGGGTGAAAAAGGTTCTCTGTAACAAACATTGGTCTATATATACAGCTTCTTTCTGTGGATGTTGAGCCTGACAATGCATTGTTAAGGCGAGATAGATAATGACGTATGTTTATGGTCCAAATGTATGTCTTTTTCATTTATGTAAAAGTCTGCCAAACAAGATGTGTTGTGTACTTCTCCAACCATGATGGTTATCGGCTAATTCCCGATAGTGATTTATAGTGGGAATGGAACGTTTCTGATTTCCTTTAAAATCGTATACAACCATGTCAAACTAAAAATATGGTATGAATTTATCTGCATCTAACAAATGCCACGCGCCGAAACATGACATTTAAGGTGGGTGTCGTCTCAAAAACTTCAAATTGACATGATCTCAGTTTGAAATATAAGATTCTTACAATTTCTGTTAGGTTAACTTCAACTGAAGAAATTATTGATATGACATGAATATCGGGGATGTTGTCAAGTAAATTAAAGTAAAAAAAAAATATTCGCGGAAAAATCATGCAAATCCTATGCTTTCCCCCATAATTACGACTAGAATTTCAACCTAAATCATGTTTAAACGCCCCTAGAAAATGAAATACAGATCGATTTCAGAACAAAATGTTTGTTTTTTTTTCAATATTAAACTTTGATTCTAAAAATTTTGTTTTCCAGAGTAAAGATATTCCTTGCTTTCAAAAACAGAACTGGAGACTTTGCAATTCCGGTTTTCTGTCGTAATTGAAAGATGCTCATTTTAATCAAGGAATACATTTAATGACATTGGTCTCTCAAGTCAGATAGAACACCGTTTGCGGAATCGATTGTTTCATCATTTAGATCCCAGGTCCCTATTAAAATCAATGTCCATAAACCGAAATAGAATTAGCAAAAAAAAAATCTTTCATAGTTAAAATAAAACAGAAATTCGATTTGAATTATTCATCGACAAGAATTGCAAGTATCTTATTTCAGCAATAATATTGTGTACAATGGACAACACCGAGACAATGCAAACGGTTAGTAAAAACACCCGAATAATTAAACAGTTCCTGTGGAAATTACAAATATTACTTTTAAACGCAAAGACTCTTTCCTGATATATTTTAAAGAAAAAACTTCTTTACCTGAAACTACGTTGTCAATCCCTGGATTTCCGTCATTCTGTATGTCCGTGCCAATATTTTAGAGTGGTGGAATTTCACGATAATTAATAAGTTGGAATTTACTCTGGCGTTAGGCTCCAATCGTTGCATGTTAAGAGAAGATTAATGTTCTCTAAACAATTCCAGGAGATTCCCGGGAATGGGTCCAAACAGAGACACCTCCAATAAAGTGTCCTTCATTGATTTCTTCAGAGGCGAACAGACACAAAACAGACCTTTCTGAACCGTGGGAGTAACAAAATAGTTTCATGTACAAATATTTCTAAGAACGCATACTCACTGAGAATCTATAAGACATATAGTGGAGCAGTATATTACATTTTAACTATTCTATGAAGTTTAGCATTTTGTCAACAACATGCAAACAAGCATGCAATTTTGATTAATAAATATTTGTTACATGTTGTTTATATGCATTTTTTAGAACACCAAAAGAAATAGTTTTTCTAGATAAAGATAAGTGTAGTTTTTCCATTTTTCGTTTCGTTCTTTACATGTATAAAGGTATGATTACGTCCGTAAGTTTTTTAAAGAATTTGCATGTTTAGAAATCAACAATGCAAATGAAAATAATGCAAAATAGTCGATTACAACATTCAGACTTTTTACAATCTCTCAAATGAGAGAGGATGACGCCAATTTTGCATATAAAAAAAATTATCGGCATTAATAAACCTTCTTTCTTTTATGTAAACAAGAAGGCATTCGATAAAACATTACCGACAATTAAAAAATGGTAGAACATTTAAAAAAAATAAAAATTTCAGTTCATTTAATAAATGAGGCAGAATATAGAGTTAAAGTTATTGGTAGCAGTTAACACTAGAAATAATCATCCTGAATAGTCGAATATATTTCCTGTATGTTTCTGTCTAAAGACGTACTTGATCACATCAGGGACAAAAAATTGAAGAGGTGTCGACTTATTGAATAAAAGGGAAAAACAACTTACTTTTTTTCAGAGAGCGCAAAAGTTCGACAACATAGCCAAGTATCCCTGTTACTCTAAACAACATGTTAATTTTATGTCTTAATCTTTAACCAAAGAATTGATGTAGAACACAACAAATGATGTTCTGAGCTAATTGAGTTTATTGCAGTGTAGCAGTTGTACGCAATTTTACACAAACAAAACAACAAGAGTTAAGTTTTTGATGCTCGGTCAAGACAAGCCTCTACTTTTCCCTTTTGTTACACTAGAGAAGCTGGAGAGAAGTGTTTGATTATTTATATCATTAGTAAGCTGTTTGAAGAAATATTCACTCCTTATATATAAAGTGTTATATTTTGATAACAAATGCAAAAACAAAATATGTATTATATAGACATGTGAATATTAGCAAGTTTTGATTTGAGACTATGATTCAATTTCTATAAGTATACAGTAGATCCTTATAGAGGTGTCTTCTAGCTACTCCCACTTTTTAAAAATCTCAATTCCACCTATTCCCACTTGCAAATAACAACAGATGTTTAGATTTACCTGTATTTTGTACATTTTAAGACAGAAAATAATGAATACATCTATGAGAAAATATGATTTATTTCGGATGTTTGAAATAATAAAATGATCTTACAAGAAAAAGCAACTAAATATCTAAATTTAAGAACATAGTTAATTATTTGTTTACACAAAATTCCACCTATTCCCACATAAAATCTTACCTTTTTCTACATGATTTTCAAAAAGTGGGAATAGGTAGAATGAACCCTTATAGATAGTATATCCGAGAAAATAAACCATATGCCATGTGGTACATTTTGATTTTTTTTCTCATCAAATTGTTGACCTGAAAAAAAGGAATCTAAATACCAGATATTATATACCCCTTCACAAAGATTGAAAGAAAACCAGCAGCTGATACTGAAAATGAATAGGAAACAATCTTTAAGACTCCTACTCGTTTTATATCATTACAAAATATTTCAAACGTTGCTCAGGACTTCAACATCCTCTCAAAGACGCTGCATTTACTTCTCTTTTTTGAAATTCAAGATGATAACACTTGAATTCTTTTGTAGAGGTAAAAACAATCCCTAAAAATAATTCAATTAGTCTTTTTAGAGATTTAAATTAGCTTGATGTAGAAGACGTAACGTTCTTATTGTTAAAAAGGTTATTTAATTGATCAGAGCCTTGTAACCCATTCAAATTTAAGTAGAATTCTTCAACAAACAAAATAAAGATACTTACCGTGCTTACTCTGCTCCCAATCTGCATTGTTTCAATGATCTATGACCTTGAATATTGTTCCTTGTCACCAAATTTCATAGATATATGTTCAACATGACTTTCTCATGGTTACATACGTGTACATCTTTTTTGCAGAAAACGGAATATTTATTTGTAAAAAAGTGTTATATGTCATGGGGTAAAAAAGTAAAATATCTGATCTAGTTACCAGTGTAAAACTCAAACTCTAGGTAGTTTTAGAAAACTGCTTCTTGTATGACACATTTATGAATGTTTCTAAATGGACAAAGAATTAATAAATGAGAACTTGAGATATCTTGATTTACCCTATTATATTTACATTTCTTAACATCTTGCACAACGACTTTCGCTATTATGCAAATTATCCCATGTTTAGCTACTATCGTTAATGCCCTGGCATACCCAACAGACTGGACACTGATTCCTTAACCGATTCAAAAGAAATTTTGATTTAAAACTCACACATTGTCATATTTACTAGTTAATATATTTGTAACTGGTATATTTACTCATATCTAATGAGTTCATACAATCTACCAAGAAAGCAGACAATTTTGTATTGCCTGTCGAAAGTATAATATTCGTCTTTCATATTAGAGGTACATTAGCAAACATTTTCTTACGAATCAACATCTGAATGCTAAAAAGTATCGATATGTGCATGAATGACATACTGACAACTGCGCTTTGAAAATTCTTGGTCATCTTCTGATTACGTAAGTGACTTATTTTTTCAAAGTTCAGAAATCGTGTACGTGGTATTTGAGATTATTTCGAAACATTTCATAAAAGTATCGTGTTCCTTGACATAAAGTTTAATAAAGAAACAAGGTTCTCAGATATCGACTATGTGAAGTTTATTTTGAGAATTCAAAAGCGATATTACGTATTACTGTTTATTTTATTGTTACTTTATGAAGGTTGAATGAGCTAGTCATATTAAAACCATGGTGATCAAAAACATTAGAAAATACTTTGAAAACAAATTCAAAATCCAATCAGAACAATATCAGAGACATAGGAATCAAAGGAGAAGAATGCTTAATCTTAAGATCTGAATTATACACAACAAACATCACCTGCTCTAGCAGTCTGTAAAAATACGCATTATGATTCTTTTTAAATCAAATCAAAGTAAAAAACGCATTCATTGAGCCGTTGACGGCGAAAGAAACTCCCTTATTATAATAAATTGCCAATCCTTTCAACATATGAATAAATGATATGTCCTCCAAATTACACCAAATCACTTTTTTTTATATAAAAGAAACAGTGATCATGTTTTTCCATATGAATTAACTCCTAATAACTTGGGGAAAAATAAGCCGCTTAATATCACAAAATTGTTTTTTAAAGGTAAGAATCCTAGAGCAAAAAACAAAAGTTATTCATTTTTTCCAAATTACGAGTATATATGAAATATGACTTTATTCAAACAGTACTCAAAGTCAAAGTCCATTTATACAATAAGAATCAGGAGCAGAGCAAGGACGAGTCTTTACAAATAGCAGAGGAGGGATCAGGTGCCATCGAGAAATAAGCATCCACTGAAGACCGGACAATGTATAGAATCACTGTTTAATTTGTTGTGTATGCTTGATATATTAGCGACAGAATGGAATTTGCAGTTTTTCCCAAGTCTCTTGTTTTATACCAATTTATAGGTCTTTGTTATATCTCCGCTTGAAAAGTTGGAGGGTTCATATATAAAGTGGACTACTATATATATGTACCCTCCAACTTTAATTAAATATTCTTCTCGGCTTAAATATTTGAGGGTGGAAGAAAATTGAAAGTAATCGATTATTAATCGATTACATTGTCTTAAGTAATCGATTACAATCGATTACTGGACAAAACTAACTGTAATCAATTATTAATCGATTACACAAAATTCCTTTAAGTAATCGATTATTAATCGATTACATTTTCCAGTAATTGTACCCATGCCTGATAGTGGTCAGGATGTCCGTCCGTCTGTTACGCTTTGGGTTACCCATCTCTTATCTGCAACTCCTCTTATGCCACTGAATAAAATTTAATGAGACTTTCACATATTCTTTGTTACGTATAGTGCCAGAGTGCACCTCCTATTTTACTTTTTTATCTTACACATATTTTGGGTTTCCCGTAACAAAACATAGACGCTGTCATACATGGGTATCCATTTCTTATCCGTAACTCCTCCCATATAACTGAATAAAATTTTATGATACTTTTACAGATTCTTTATTACATAAGGCCATTATGTATGTCCTAATAACTACTTGATCTCCCAGAGCAAAACATTGGCGTTGCTATTATAATCATATGGGAGGTTGGGGGTATCATTTCATTTCGTAGTGCATACATGCAGTATCTTTAGTTTTATACTGAATTTGATTACGGAAGGTTCTGACTGCATGATCATGATCAATACATAGGGCTCAAGGCGTGTGTGACTTGTCAACAACGGATGCTTACTCCTCCAAGGCACCTGATCCCACCTCTGGAATTTCAACGAGTCTGTGTTTTATGCCCCTATTATAGATGTGTATTGTCTGACCCCTTTAAATATCAGAGGTGGGATAGGGTGTCATGAAAGAGTAAGTATCCCCTGACTCCAACAATCAGTAATTTGGAATTTGTCAAACCAATAACGAACACACAAGTTTATCGTAATTAAGAAATGCAAGTTTCCGTCAATGGTTCTCATTTTCTACATCCATGACATCCTTTTTTCTCATCCATCGTTTTGATTGGAGAAGTTGGAGAGTAGAATTCTATTTTCAAACAGGCTATTAAAATACCTACAATATTGTCTGTGAAAATACATTAATCGTACCATATATCTGTAGTTATATTTGACACGTGTAAATGTGTATCACATTTCTTTATTTCTCCTATAAATCTGATATTCTGAAGTAACTTTGCCACTTTTTGTAGATATTCATCAGGACGATATTGACTTTTTCTGAAACGATTCCAAGAAAATATGTTAAATTTCACACCTTTTGGG